AAAGTATTTATTAATAAAATAAATAACTAGAGAAGGCTGACTATAATCAGCTTGCTTCCATTTAGTGAGAAAAGCCTACTCTTCACCTGAACTAGAAAAAAAAGCTCCTCTGGTCTTCAGTGATGCGAGGACGTTTACACGTAATATCTGAGCGAGAGCAGAGCCAATTCATAAAAGAACAATGTATATTTAATAGCACACATGCAGTTTTGTGAGAGTGAAGGAAATCCACTTGGAGTGGAGAGCATTACATGGATTGAGTAACATTATGCGCTCTCAACATTGTCATTAAGATCTCGCTATAGAAACCGCCTAAAATTAAGTATATAGAGGAAAAAAGCGGCCGCCTACTCTTCACCTGAACTAGAAAAAAAAGCTCCTCTGGTCTTCAGTGATGCGAGGCCGGTTACACGTAATATCTGAGCGAGAGCAGAGCCAATTCATAAAAGAACAATGTATATTTAATAGCACACATGCAGTTTTGTGAGAGTGAAGGAAATCCACTTGGAGTGGAGAGCATTACATGGATTGAGTAACATTGTGCGCTCTCAACATTGTCATTAAGATCACGCTATAGAAACCGCCTAAAATTAAGTATATAGAGGAAAAAAGCGGCCCTAGGCAGCTGCCTACACATGCCAGATGCAGTTAGTAATTTACTAAAAACAAGCCTATGGCAAGACATCTGGGGGGCACCCGCCCGTCTCCTCTGAGAGTGATGTGTCTGATGCTCCCTCTGCTGGTTTACAGTCAGAGCGACTACATGATCACACAAACACACACCAGATCTGCTCCTGTGGACACTGACAGTCACTTCTCAATAATGCGCTTTAAGTGCTTTGACAGTCAAAGAGACCTGCAATTCACTCCAGAATATTTCCTAACGTTTGAGTTTTTAAAGTAAGTGGCACCTGCAGCAGTGCTGATGTCCCCATCCTCTCTGGATTAATCCGCATCAGAATACAGATGGAGACACGAGGATTATTCTCTAATCTCACTGTCATCTGCCGCTGGTCAGATACTCTCATAACAGCACAACACAGGCTTCATGGAAATAAATGGAAAAAAATCTGAAGAATCAAAGACCCTAAAATCAATGTGTAAAAACATCAGACAACACTGAATTCAACTAAACGCTCAAAGAAAACAATGAAACGGCAAGATAACAGAACACATGAGGAATTTCTGTCTTGAGGATTCAACATCAGCTGCTCTAAAGTTTAGTGTCTTCAGCTTTTACAGTGCCAGATATGTTGTTAAAATGTCAGAAAAATGGTGATTAAACGTTAAAGATGTAGTCTGAGATACCACTAAAGTTTATTGAACCATGAACCCCAAACTGCAAGAACAGAACAATCACAGTGTTTTCTGTGCAATAACTCTAAGTCTGTTGTGATCTCTTTCCTAAATAAATATACAAAAATATTTGTTATAATTACACCAGCTGTGGAAGACGATCTGCATTCAGCCTCATTTGATAAGACACATTAACTACGCCAATTACCTTGTACTGTTGGACATGTTTAAAATGCAATTCAGCTGAAAGCAATCGAAAGGTTTTTTCTGCTTTTAAACAAATAAATGCAAAATAAATGAATAAACTTTGTTCAGCTAAATCTTTCTCGTCCAGTCAGTGTCATGTGTTCTTGTCTCCTTACGGCTACTTCCTCCTGTTTCCGCCGCCGTTAGCTAGAATCATCACCAAACGCATGAAGATGTTGAGCGTGTCCATGTAAATGCCCATACATCTGGAAGAGCAGGAGCAGCGATGTTAACAGACGGAAGTCATACTGCGTGTCGTTTAAACGATAGAACGATTGAATGAAACGAAACACATATTACAAATGCACAAGTCTGACTCTTAGCTTGCCCACAGAAAACACTTACGCATTAATGGGGTCATATTTCTGAACGCCGTAAAGAGGGTGCGTCTCGGCACGCTTGATGACTTTCTGTGTGTCATACAGCAGAAACATGCTGAACAGGACCAGACCTCCATAAACCGCCACCGAGTACAGGCCGGCCCCGAATGCAGAGGTGGGGGGCAGAAACATGGAGCCTGCAGAGAGGAGAGAACAGAAGAAACTCCTGTGAAGTCTGTAAGGTTAAACAGCCACACAGTCTGCGGCGGACTGTAAATGCATCTCACCCAGAGACGAGGCGAACACCACGCCGAAGCCCACGGCCAGCGGGCCGCCCAAGCTCAGGAACTTCTCGCTCGGCGCACACATGGCCACCGTCGACAGACCGGCCACGATTCCTGCGGTGTACCAGGCTGCTCGAACCATCAGCGGGCCACCCAGCAGAGTTAACGGAGCGATGACGGCTCCCATCACACCTGCACACGACGTCATGAGCACCAGAGAAACATTAGCAGTGCTAAACTAACCCAGCAGAAGCACAAACGCAGACTGCAGTGCCCTCTGGAGGTCAGTTAAAGCAGTGAAAGCACTTTACCTGCGTGTAGAGCCCAGGCCAGGTGTTTCGGCATCGGACTGTGTTCGTACGAGATCGACCTCACCAGCATCCCGGCGCCGATCATAGCAGCGAACGTGGCGCCAATAGCCTGCGGATCGTTCACAAGGTTGTCACAGCATTAAACATCAATGTGAATATTAAACTACAAGCTGAATCATTACTGTGCCATAGGATGCTATAATACAGTATATAATTAGTAGCTGCCTTACAGTACGTTTTGTTGATTTGTTGTTATGAAGAGTGTATGTAAAGGGCGATGAATAAAAAGCAGTATGATCTCTAGCGTACCAGCCAGGAGCCCCTCATCACGAGTCCCATGAGCGCCGGTGTCCTGCTGACCGCGACGGCCGAGAGCGCCGTCAGACCCACGCTGCCCGCGAAATACATGTATGTGGAGTGGATCCTGTCCTTCACATACTGCGGCCAGATCCTGCAAACACAGCTTCAGTCTGCATCAAGCACGAAGTGTTCCTTCAAAGACTTCACATGAGGAGCTCTTACAGAATATCTGCAATGTAAGCTTGTATATATGTTGACTGTCAGTCACATTAAATCCAGCTCAGTTGAGCGGATCCTAACAGGTCTCATGAATGACATGATCGTACCATGAAGCTGTTCTTTCTCAGCGCCACATTATAAAACTCAAACCTTAAAATGAGAAGTAAAACGTGTCAGACTTGATCTACTCTAGTTTAACTCAACAGAAACTTCTGCAGAGATCGAAATGAACAGCTTTGTAGTGAATCAGACATGATCAGATTACACCAGTTATCACCAAGATTACAAAACCAGTCGTGTGCTGTCTGCAGATCAGACGAGAAGTTCATTTAACAATCGGATCACTGTGCTGGCATCATCAGATCAGTTCTAGCCGTTACAGTGTTTGATGTGAAGGTGATTCTTACACTGCTTTCTCGATGGCTCCCATCTCGTTGGACATGCCTAATCCGTAATAACACAAAGCTCCGAGTCCAACAGCGGCGCCTCCAGCGAGGACGATCCGGCCCATGCTGTCGACTGCAGAGGACAGAATCACACACGTCATCGGTCTCATGGGGAGTCGCCTGGGGTGTCTTTTAAAATAGGCCATAAATATAAATATCCTTTACTTATTTTGAGTTTGAAACACTAGAGACTCAAACATGCATTCGTTACATAATGTTCAGACCTGGCATTAACATCCATCTCAGGTGATCCGATCACAAGCAGCAGATACAGCTGAGAACAGGGTCTAAAGCATTTAGGACAAGATTACTTGTAACTAAGTCAGAAGTGAAGACTAAGAGTTTCCCTCCACAATCCAAAGACACACAGAACAGGTGCGAGTCTGAACGTGTGTGTTTGATGGTTCTAATCCAACGAGCATGAGCTGACAGTCATTTCCCATCATGATTTTATTTTGCTGGTAAATGCTGTAGAGTATTTTAGCACAGCATTTCTAACCAGCATGCAGAACTTGTCTATCTCAAACAAGCCTAACGACTCTAGATCAGACACATGGTACAGCGGTGTAAACAGCACCAAAAACATAATCATTTTATAAAAATACATACATGTGGAGAAAACGGTCTTTATAAAAGGACATGTTAACAGAATTCACTTTTAATCGCCGTGTCTGTAGCAGGCTGAAACGCTTGGTCTTTGGCCGTCTTGCTCCGGCGGAATCCCAGTCTAGTCTTGGTGGAGTAACCCTGAAATACATGAAATACAACACAACACATGATTAATCAGAACACAGCCCTGGCGCTCGACTGCTAGTTCACAAGCGAGCCGCTCCAGTGAGGCTCTTATCTGGCTAACAGATCTTCGGAACCTGCTGTGGTCTGATCAGGACTGGACCGGACTTCATCAGGGCTGGACTCCGCAGGACTGACCGCAGGCATGACAGGCGTGTGACCAGCATCACTGAACAATACTGAAACACAGGCAGAAACCAGAGCTAATTATCATACATTCGCGTGAAGCAGAGGGAATACAGCTGCTAAACAGGACAAGAGGAAGATTTTATGCAACGACAAACTCAAGAACAAGCAGAGGATGTTCAGTGCTATCAGTGTTTACCTAGATATGAGTCCAGCGAATAATCCTGTAGAACGACATTTACACGTCACGTTTTGTAAAACATTACATTAAGTAAAACTCACCAGTTGGCTTGTTGTCTAACTTCACCTTTCCGATGCGTCTTCACCAATGACGCAACAAACTGTAAACACCTTCCTGAACGTTCCTGAGTGTGACGTCACAGGCCGGCGACAGCCACGCAATGCACTATGGGTCTTGAAGTTTGGACTTCTTCAGCTGGGACAAGCGTTCTACATTTGTTAACGTTTCAGAGTTAGCTTTTAAATAATTTATGTTCCGTTTGTTTATTCTATTTTTTAAATTATTAATCACATACTAGAACAACTAGACTAAAGAAACAAATAAAGTAACGGTCTGATACTGTTAAGACTGAACAATATTGCATTTAAAAATGATTTATAAATACCGAATATTGTTGCAAAATTGTCTTTGTTTTGATCGTTTCTAATAAACAAAGCAAACAGCCATATCATTCCAACATAATTTACAAAGTAATTTGTAAAATTTATATTCCATTCAAATGTTTTAATGAAACATATTAATACTTAATCTTCATATATAATATAATATTGAAACCTTTTCCAGCAAGTAGCCATACTTTCTCCCACAATGTAAATGCTATTACATTATTCCAATAAACATTCCATCATTCCATTATGCCTTGAAACAATGAGGGAATTAGTCTATTATTATTATTATTATTATTATTTCTACGAGAAATACATATGTTACCGAGCTGTCATACACTGTTGCACTGTGTTGGTGCTCCTGTAATAAAATATCATGTTGTTGTTTTTTTGTAATTATGATGCTGCGCTGGCGGGGGCGCGCACGTCGCAGTGACGCAGTGACGCAGAGTTGCTCTCGCTCCGCTGCTGAGGCGCATCTGTCTCTCAGCCCGATCGCTTTTAAACTAAACGTATTTCGATCCACAAATACAATACATTTGTGAGGTTTTTTGCATTCCCGATCAATGTTAGATGTTTGTGTAGGTAATTGCTTGATTTAATAGTTTTAATGTGTTACAGAGCTGGACGTGAATGATTATTAAATGATGGATTCGATTTTTTTAAAACTACTGAATACTGAATTTTACACACAGTGATCTGGATGTTACTGTGTTTTTTTCATCAAGTGATCGAGGAAACTAATGAAGGCGGAAATGTAATGGTACAGTATCATCATGCTTTATTCTGCTGTCATTTCAAAATGATCATGAATGACTTTCGATGTGTTTCTCACTGTCTGATATAACTGCTGAACTGTTGAAGTGATGTATGTAATGTATCGCTCGTCTGTGATTGCGACTGATGCTGTAACATCTGCAGATTTATTACTGCATCACTATCAATCCGCGCTATTAATCTGATCATATCGCTGTGTGTTTGGCGAAGGCTGCTTTCAATGCTTCGTGTGTTTCTCGCAGGTCTTTAGTTGATCCTGATCAGATGAAGTGCTGTTTACTGAGGGCTCGCTGTCCGTCTCTCTAGTGTGTGTGTGAGGAATGTGACACGAGTGTGAGATGAAGCACAGCTTTCAGGTCTTTTACAGGATGATAATCAATCATCATTTACTTTTGACCAGCAGTCTAAATATGAGTGTGAATAACTCAGGCACAGGGTGAAGATCTCCTGTTTTGTTGAGATTTGTATTTTGCTTATTACAGGCATGTAGATGATTATCGCCAATAAACAAGAATAGAAACACAGAAGATATGAAGCATTTTAGGTTGGGTTTTTTGGTGCAGCTTCCAGTTAGTCCAGGTTTTGGTTAGAAGACTAGAGATGAACGAGTAAAAGAGACCGCGTGGGAAGATGAGGCTAAATACATGACATGATTAGATCAGAGTTTTGGTGGTGATGTGAAGGTTTTCTGAGTCTAATTTGTGGCTCAGGTTAACAGTGCAAGACAGAACTTGCCTCCTAACCACCGTCTGCTGGCAGGACAGCGTCTCTCTCAGCCTCCTACAGTACTGTGTTATTATCATCCCACACAACACACTCTTACAGGGTCACACATACCCCTGCTTTAGACTGGAGCACTGGTTATCTAGTGTTCCTGAAGGTGAGAGTCTTTGAAAGTTTGCTCATCTATCACCCCGGCTCATAAACCCAATAACATACTAACACATCATTTAAATACTACTTTACTCATACTGTTGACACATACTACTGTACTGTGTACGTGTGATGCTGTACTTTAGTGTTGTTCCAATGTTCTTCATGAGAGCAAGTGACTATCTGCGACACTGAATGCAGCGGGTTTGATCTCTGCTCAGAAATGTTCATAAACATCTTGAAACTGGAATCTTACAGAATCACATTTATTTCTCCAAATAACAGACTACAGAGGATTTACTCTGTCTGAACCTATAAGTGTTGAGTCAATGTGTCTGGGATGATCCTGTGATCTCTGCTGCTAAACATGTTTTTTTCACCAGTATAATTGCAAATTTACGCCATCTATGCACAGACACATAAAATGTAAAGACTTGTAGACAATCTGGATAATTCATATGTCAACACACTCAAACTGTAGAGGTGTAATTTAGCTGTATTGTGACTTTAAGGCAATATTTCCGGCACAGTCGCTGTTTAGTGTAATGAATGTTTTTTTGTTCTGTCTGTTTGCAGTTTCAGCAGTTTCTGGGAGAAATCTTCAGATTTACACAGCAAATGTTGCTTATCAATGTATTTGTTTTAACTGTAAAGGTATTTTTCAAATCATGATGAGGTGAAATCAGTTTAATCACCTCACCCGTTTCTGAAAACTGTTTAATTGAGCTCAAACAGCAAGATTTCTGTAAGTCTTTCTTACCGAAGGTGCCTGTCTCATTTGTTAACATTAATTAACATGAACTAACTGTGAGCATTATCATCTTTACAGGATTTATTAACCTTTGTTAATGTTAGTTAATAAAACCACAGTTGTTCATTGTTTGTTTGTTAGTTCACAGTGCATTATGTAATGTTAATAAATGCTACAGAGGAAGGTTAGTAGGTTTATATTAACTAATGATAACAAATGAAACCTTGTTGTAAAGTGTTACCCAGATTTCTGTTGTTTGTATTAATGAGTGATTGTTTGCATGTGAAATACACTGTCTTTATATTTTAGTGGTGTTTATAGCTTTTAATTGAAACCCTTCCCAGCATCCTCTGCTGTGGTGTCAGTATTGCACATGATTCACAGCGAGTGATAATTAATGCTGTTTACTAAAACAAGAATCACTATTATTATTACTACATCTTTGTCTTCTGCTTCCAGAGCAAACGTCAGTACGTCTTTAAGCAGCATGTTGTGCTATGAATATATCTCAGACTATGCAGAGTACATAACTGTGTAGAAACAGCGTAGAAACAGCATAGAAATGCAGCTGAACTGACTCCATATGAACGGCCTGCCAGTCGCTCACAGAACTACACTTACAAACACGTCAAAATCCACTTATGTTGCATTTGATTCGTCTCTTTCTGCCTCATCAAGAGATTTATTCAGATTATTTATGAAAACCAAACCTGTCGTTATATGTCAGATTGTAAAGCATAACTCATATATTACATTTGACAGTGCTATTAATAATATAAAACACATTTAAACGAATGCTACTAACTATGCTCCTATATATCGTACAGTCATACAAGACCTAAGAATAATTATCTACAGTAACTACTGACAGAAAAACATGGACTATCCATGACTGCAGCGAGACAGCTTGAATTAATGATTACGCACATGCTATAAAAAGGCAAATACTTTTAAATCAGATGTATTTGTGGGTATGAAGTGGAGAATAAATCTAGATTAGTGTGGTTTTACAGTGTTTGTCATGACTCATGTGTCACGTGTGTGTTTTATTTCAGAGTCCAACCAGAGGAAAAAGATGATCTGAGAGTGAATCACCCGCTGAACACAATCACACACAAGAATGCGCATTAAATATACCATTTCTATCATCTTTATTGTGGCTCTGGTCATCATAGAAAAGGAAAACAACATTATTTCAAAGTAGGTTGTTTTCTCACTCTCCTCTTCTGTTTGTTCCTCTGTATGTGTGACACCTGTGTGTTCAGTTTGGTGATGCAGTGGAGGATTACAGTAATCTAAATAAAAGTCAGAAAACATTCAAATCAAAGCTTGTCGGTTGTGTTAGTGAATATGTGTTATTAATTTTGCTGTGTACAAATTTCTGTTCTTAGAGAAGTTGCTTCTTTGAGAAGAAATTAGACATTAAAGTGCCCCTATTATGCCTTTTCAAATATTACCTTTCATGCAGTGTGTCATGTAGCTGTATGTGAACATAAACTATCTGCAAAGTTGTGAAGCCGACAGTGCACGATAAATAAAGTTATTGTCTATCAAAAAAAAGAGTCGGCTCGCAATCGCCTAAACGAGTCGTCAGGAATTAGAATCTTATTCTGTTACGGCTCTACGTCACAAAGTAACACATTTGCATAATGTCTGCCCACGTTCTACGTCGCCAGCT